TTTAATTTGTATCACCTTTTTATGTGACAAATCACATTATAAACTGAATGATAAATGAGCATTACAGTGCAGTTAGTAAGTGACCAGGGTTAAAATTTTACAGGGGACATTAGCGAGTTTAATAAAAAAAATAGGTAGAGTGGGGTTTGTGACTGGGACTGCATTAGCATTAAAGTATCTTTTTGATTTGAAACTCATATTATATATATAAATGAGTGAATATTTATATAAATACATCATCATGACCAACATTATCATCATCATCATCATCAAGTTTTAACCTTTTACTTTTGTGCTGTTTTTCTAATATAAAAAATCTCAAGCATTTTTGTTTCTTAACTAAAGCTTATTCATACCATATATAATGTACTCTCTAAGTTTTCTTGCTGCTACCACTCTACATGCTAGTAATCAAACCACTTTAATCTTCTCTGCTAAATGTTGTTCGATACAATGCTTTTTCTTATTTCTGTCCAAGATTATGGCTCCTTTTTTTGTTTTGTTTGTGTCATACTTCACATCTATATGATCATCATCTTCTCTTTCTCATTATCTTCAACAAATACACATCATATAAATACTTGAGTTTATAAAAAAATGTAATGATATTGTATGCTAACATCTAAATAAATAGAAAAACATATGTTCATTATTATATATACAGTCAGCGAAATTCAGGTTGGCATTCGGTATTATCGACGCAAAAGCCGACCTATATTTGCTTTAGGACGGCATACAACTGCCGACCTTAATATCCTAAGGTGTCGGCACGTAAATTGAAATACATGTAAAAAATATTTAATATTCATTAAATATTATTTTATAATTTTTTCCAAACCCTTGTTTCTTCTGACACTGAATCTTCTGATCAAGAAATTTTGATTTCTAACATTAACTTTAGTAATATTTCTGATGATGATTGGACAGAAAATTCTGATAATGAGTAAATTATGAAAATACTTTAATAAGACAATAAGACACCATTGCGCAGAAACAATTTTTATATAAAAGGAAAAAAAAACTATTTTTAGTATTTTTAACTTTTGTTTTTCCTCTATCAATTTACATATAGTTACAAGTTCATACTGTACTACAATTAAATATTGAAAAACACCATCCCTACTACTGAAGAATTAAAGGCTTATTTCTTGTAGAGGTTAATTAACCAGATGTAAACTGTCTACTCATTTTGTTAAACAACTTGCCGTTTTAAACAAAATCTTTGTCTACAGCACATAAACTAAATTTTTATTTCTAAATGACGTTCTTTCTGTGAGCAATCTAGAAAACCAAATAAAATGTAATAAATAAACTATGACCATTTTTTTTGTAAAAAAAAACAACTTCAAAACTAAAAAATCACTAATTCATAAATTTGCTATATACTTAATTTACTACACAAAATTTATTTGCTACATTCTTTAAAATATTATTGTCTGAAGCTATGCTATTATAAAGCAATCCTTTTATAATCAATTAATCGTTACCCCTATCGTAATAGAAAGTTTTTTTTTTTTTTTTTTTGCTGACCTGGCGTCGGCATGCTTGTACCGACCTGAAATCCTTAGAATTTTGCTGACTGTATATATTCATACTATGAAATCCGCCTCTTACCTAACCCTCTGGATCCAAGCAGTTTTGGAAACTTTTATTCCTCTTTGGTTTTAAAAAAAAGCCTTATTCTACTCCATGTTTTTCACCTTATGCAGTTACTATATTAAAACATCTTTTTTTTTTTTTTTTTTTTTTTTTTTTGTCTTTTGAATAAATCTTTTAAGAACAAATGTCTTTTTATTATTGCAAGAAGCTAATGTAAAAAGATCATTCCTAATGCAAAGCTCTGTTATTCTCAGTTTACAAAATCTTGTATCTTATCTCAGATGTTTGGTTTTAGAGCCCTTTAAAAAATCTTTAACAGTGTCATTAACTTAAGTCTAATATTCCATTTCTAATTCATTAGTCTCTTTCTACTCTACGCACACACACCCTCCCCCAGAACAAGGCGTGGTTAATGGCAACAGAATTTGACTCATGAATCTAATGGCCATACTTTTCCTGCAGTTTTAGTCAAACTGATTAACCTAATGTTAGACATCTAAATCAGTCTAACTACCAATGCTCAAGTCAATTTCATAGAAGATTAAATTTAATATTCTATGGCTTGTGATTCAGACAACATTTCTATCGTAATCTTACATAAGTGTTCTTTAGAGCTCTCTTAATTACTACACTATGTGTTTCTATATGATCCTATGCTTTAATCCTTGCTTAACTACTATTAAGTCATAAATAAATGGTTTCAATATTTAAAAATTCTAGAAAACACTCTGACCTCTCTAACTATTCTATGATTATTCTTTTCTCTATGAGTTTCTTCATATAAAAGATTGTTAAATCATTTCTTTCTAACTGCAGTATTAAAGTCACTCTTGATGCCCTGCACTCTTCTTCAATTCCAGTATCTTTAGGAGTACTGTGAGGTACTATCTTTGCTCCTGTGCTGTTTCTTATCCTCAATAACAATCTTACTAACAACCATACATCTAAAGTCAATTTGCTGACAACTCAACTTAATACTCTTGTCTTGACAAAAAGTCTAAAATTTTTGATCACTTACAACAAGTAGTTGATCTTTAATTTGATCTTTCTTCTGCAACAGCTTGGGGCATGCAATGGCTTGCGGGTATCAACTCCAACAAAACTCAATTATTTACTGCAAACAACTATTGCAATATTGTTGACATTCCCACATTGACAAACGGAAAACTATAATAGCTTAGTGGGTAAGGCAAAAAAATCTAGAATGGTTTTCTTCATAGTGTTAATCACAATAAAATTATCCAATCCTAATCTGTTAAGCAGGTTAGCACCAGAATGGCCGTTCAGTTGTAAAAAATTACATTTATTTTTCAATAATTTTATATAAATATGGCATTATGAAAACCATTGAAGTTGTTTATGTTTTCGATCCTCTCGCTCCATAATTTTAAATTTTATATAAATATGGCATTAAGAAAACCATTGAAGTTGTTATGTTTTCGATCCTCTCGCTCTACGGCTGACTTGCTAACTGCTGTAACTGAAAGATTTTATTGTGCATTAGATAGAGGTGGTGAGGCTAGGGCTATTGCTCTTGACATATCTAAAGCTTTCGACAAAGTTTGGCATGCTGGTCTTCTCCATAAGCTTGCTTCATATGGTGTTTCTGGGAAAGTTTTTGAAATTATCAAATCATTTCTTTCTAACCGGTTTATTAAAGTCATCCTTGAAGGCCAACACTCTTCTTTATTTGCAGTAACTTCTGGGGTTCCCCAAGGTTCCATCCTGGGCCCTGTTTTGTTTCTTATCTACATAAACGATCTTCCTGACAACCTTACATCTAAAGTAGCTCTTTTTGCTGATGACTCAACTTTATACTCCTGTCTTGACAAAAAGTCTTCTCTTTTCGATCGCTCAGAACAAGCAGCTGATCTTGAATCCGATCTCACTTCAGTAATAGATTAGGGTTCACAGTGGCTTGTGAATTTCAACTCTAAAAAAACCCAGTTGCTTACTGCAAATAACTACCGTAATATGATCAACATTCCTATATTAATGAATGGCAATCCTCTTACTGAGTCCTCCTCTTTACGTCTTCTTGGATTATTGCTTACTACTAACCTTGCATGGAAACCATATATACAATCTATTGCTAAATTAGCTTCTGCTAAGGTTGCTTCTCTTTCGTGCTCGCCATTTCCTTACTTCTGATTCCATTCTCTACCTCTACAAATCTCTTATTCGTCCCTGTATGGAATACTGTTGTCATATTTGGGCTGGTTCTTCTAACGATTCACTTTCTCTTCTTGACAAGGTCCAAAAACGCATTGTAAATGTTGTTGGACCTGGACTATCTGCTAAGGTTGAACCTCTTTCCCATCGTCGTAAAGTTGCATCTCTTTCTCTTTTCTACAAATACTATCATGGTCACTGCTCAAAGGAGTTATCATCTCTAGTTCCATCAACTAAAATTCATTCTCGTTTTACTCGTCATTCAGCTAAGTCTCATTTGTTTACTGTATCTGTCCCTGAATGCTCTAAAAACTTTTATTCATCTAGTTTTTTTCCCCGAACTTCAATCCTTTGGAACTCTCCCATCTTCATGTTTTCCTGACTCATACAACCTTCAACTTTTCTAGTCTTCTGTCAACCGTTTCCTTGCTCTATAACTCTGTTCTTTTTTTTCCTAGTAACTCCCTACTTAATAGTGGTTGCTTGCAGCCTTGTTGGGAGTGAATGCAAATAAAAAAAAAAAAAAAATGTGTGGTAACCATGGACTTTAAACTTTCAAAAAATCAATAAAAATTGGAAATTTATTATTAAATTCAATTAATTTAATTTTGTTTTAAAATATTTTTTAGAACAAGAAACAACAAATTGGCAGCTTGCTCTTCTATGCGCCAGTAAGTAGAAATTGATGGTTGAGGAATTTTGCAATGTTTTGTTGTTTTATCCTCTTCTTTTTTTTTTTTAGAAGGTTAATGGTGAGAAGAAGTTTTTCTTCCCCGGTATTTAATTTATTATTTATAATTTTTTAATTTATTCTCCTTAATTCTTTAATTTATTTAAACTAATATCTCAATTTTCTTCTGTTTAATATTTTAATATTTTCAATTACATTTTAATATATAGTAATAATTAAATTGCATCATTTATTATATCACTATTACTAGCTATGAAATTCAGCATACCCACAATGATTTTTTTTTTGATTTAAGCATACTAATTAGAATGTCTTTTGTGTAGAATAAGAGAATCATAGTTAAGAGGGAACTTCTCTTCAGTAGATTTTGAATAAGTATAATGCTTTTCATTACTTGAGTAATCAATTCTTTACATCTACTTTTCTTGCACTAAAAAGATGACAAACAACTTTCTGTATGCTACATATAACCTTTTCTAATACATCTATTAACATTCTGATACCTCAGAATGCAGTGTAATATTTTTTTTACTTTTCTGCAGTCTTTAGGGCAGATAATTTACTTTTAAAAGCTAACACTGTATCACAACCTAAATAATTCAAAACAATAGTTTTGTTTTTGTGTTTGTAAGAAATAAAATAAACAGACTTTGATTATTTTAGATAAAGTTTCAAAATAGCACATTGAAATTTTTTTTGCAAAATTTTTTCTACTCAAGCAATTTAATGTGTATTTACTTGTAAATGAATGAACTCTAATCATTACATTTAAAGATCATTGTTTGTTTCTGCGTCCTCTTTTAAAATAAATGTTTGTGGAGATGCACCAACAATGATATAAGATCTATATTAGGCACCAACAAATTTATGAAAACATCTGTATTAAGGCTTGCAAGTATAACAGCATATAAAATGGAAACAATCTGATTCGTCTAACTACCGTCCCATTAGTCTTCCTCCTATCATAAGCAAGGTTTTTGAATATTTAATTAACAAATACTTAATCTCTCATCTTGAATCTAATAACTTACTTTCTGATCATCAATATGGATTTCGATCTTCTCGTTCTACAGCTGATTTGCTAACAGTGATAACCTATATGTGCATTAGATAAAGGTGTAGAGGTTAAGGTCATTGCTCTTGGCATTTCTAAAGCTTTTGATAAAGTTTGGCATGCTAGTCTTTTCCATAAGTTGTCTACTATTAGTGTATCTGGTAACATCTTTAAGATTATTGAATCCTTCCTTTCCAATTGTAGTCTAAAAGTTGTTCTTGATGGGCAGTACTCTTCTTCATATTCTGTAACTTTAGGGGTTCCTCAAGGTTCAATCTTCGGCTCTATACTCTTTTTAACTTACATTAACAATCTTCCAGATATTCTCACATCTAAGATGGCATTGTTCGCTGATGATACTACCATTTATTCTTGTTATAACAAGAACCCAACGCTCTCTGATTTCTTGGAGGGGGCATTTGAGCTTGAAAAGGATCTCACTTCTGCTGCAGCATGGGGCTCACAGTTGCTGCTGAACTTAAATTCAGAAAAAACTTAATTTTTTTCAGCCAATCATTATCGCAATAGTTTAGATCTTCCTATTTTTATGAAGGGTAATGTACTCAATGAGTTATCTACCCTTTATCTTCTTGGATTAACTCTTACTTTTGATCTTGTTTGGAAACCATATATCAAATCCATTGCAAAATTAGCATCTGCTATGGTTGCATCTTTTATCGTGCTCGCTTCTTTTTCTACTCCGGATTCTTTTCTCTATCTCTATAAATCTCAAAACCGGCCTTGTATGGAATACTGTTGCCATATCTGGGATGAATCTTCCAATGATACTCTTCCTATTTTAGAATTGGTGCAAAAACACATTGTAAACATAGTTGGGCCTGCTCTTGCAGCCAACATCCAACCATTATCACACTGTCATAATATTGCTTCTCTTTCTCTTTTCTACAAATACTATAATGGGCACTGCTCTAAAGAGGTAGCATCTCTTGTGCCATCTACTAAAATTCATTCTCGTGTTACTCATCATTCAATTAAGTCTCATCCTTTTTCTGTGACTGTTCCTAAATGCTCTAAAAACTCTTATTTGTCTAGTTTTTTACCATGCACATTAGTTAAAACAAAAAAACAAAAAAAAAAAAACATGTTTACAATGTAACAATTAATATAAACCTCCTTGTTGTCACTGCAAAGCTCGGACAGTTCTGTACAAATTGAGTTTTTGAAGAAGTATGAGCTATCTAATATAAATGTATATGTAAATTTTTACCAATAAAATCAAGAAATGATACTATTTTAAAGAAAATCTTTTGTGACAGTTATTTCAAAAAAATTATTACAAACTTTTATGACACATTTAATTGTTTTAATTGTTCCATAAATTAATTATTATCGACAATGAACCAATTTTTAGAAAGCAATAACACATAATAGAGAAGAATGATTGGTTGTTATGAAACTACTGTATAAGGAAATATTCGATTCAGTATAGATATTTCTGTTATAACAAGCGTCTAATGGAGTGAAACAATCTTGGTCACATGCCTGAAAGATTTAATTTATAGTATACAATACGCAACTTAAGTGATCATGAGCTGTAATATCTGGTATATAATTCAAGTTTTAATTGAAACAGAAATAAACCTAACAAAAATACAATACAGACACTTAAAAATGCTTGCAAACATGAGTTTTAAAAACAAGAATTTTTCCAAATTATATAATCAACCAATAAAAAATTCTTTTTGTGTGTCTGTGTGTAAACAATGTTAAATGCAATAAAACAACTTTTTTATAACATATGAAATGTGGAAGAATATTTAATAATTAAATAAAAATAACAAAACTTTAATTAGCATAATCAAACTGATATTTTTTTTTTTAGGGGAAACATTAAAAGGTTTAAGTTTTTTTAAAAAAATATTTATTAATTGGTAATGAAAATAATATAGATAAATTTTAAAATATATTATTTTAGTTTTTTGTTTTGTTTTAAATTAACTATATGTGGTTTAAATTAGTATGTATATATTTTTTTAAACATCTTCATTTTTAATTTTGTATAAATATCTGTGCTAGAGAGTTACAAGCATTAAGTTAACAGTTTTATTTGATTTAAAAAATGTAGTTGAATAAGATATAAAATTAGTTGCACTTTCTATTAGTTGCATTATTATAATTTGATTATTGCTAAAAAAAATTTAGAATTGCGATTCACAATTTCGGTTTATTTTAATCTAATGGTTGTTCAAATGAATTAAACTATTAAAGTTTAAATTGTAATTTTTTAGTAATATTTTGTTTTAATAATAAATGATTTTATAAGGAAAAATTTTATTATAATTTCATGATCATTGCAAAAATATTTTTTATTTGATAATAATTATTGATTTTTGTGGTTGAAACAGTTTATGGTTTTTAAAATACTAAAAATTTGAAGACCAATAGAATTTCCAGATATCGCAATTTGCGATCACTTAATTTGTGCTTTGGTATAGATACTTCTTTTATAACAAGTGTCCAACTGGATGAAGCAATCATCAATCATGGCCACAAGTCTAAAATGTATATATGATATAGATTTAATATGTAAACTAGTAATTAAAATAAAGATATTAACAATTTAATTAGTTGCTGCTATTATTACTGCAACTGCAGTAGTAATAGTAGTAGGTAGTAGTAGTAGTAGCAGCAGCAGTAGCAGTAGTTGTGAAATAACAAAATATATATTTAACCCTAAGTATAAAAAAAGAATAAATCTTTTTTTCCCATAAATAAGAAGCCTCTTTAAATCAAAAAAATTAAAAAATAATCAAAAATTTTGTGTATAAAAAAACTTTGGTTGTGTCATTAATACAAAGTTTTATATTGTCATTTGGTGTTCTCGTTATGGTTTTCATCTCACTAGTAATTCTACTGCAAAATTAAAATCTTTCATTTCATAGATAATTTTTTTTAAGTCGAATTTGACTTCAAAATTCCATAAACTTTTCTAAACTAATACGCAAGTATCTATGGTTTCCAGATTTTCAATGAGCCATAGTTAACTTCAATTTGTGTTGAACAGCTGAAGATCTATTATTTAAAAAGTTAATATTACAGCAAATTAGTTTTTTTGCAATTTATTTTTTAAAATCTTTGTGTTTTTTTGTATGTAATTTAGTTATTATATTTTAATAATCTGAACTAAGCAGACTGAAGTCTTACATATAAAGGAACTAAATTATTAAAATTACACATTAAATTGAAAAAAATTATCTTTTTAAAAATGTTTAGAATACAGCTTCAAATGTTTTGGAACCCCTTACTTTCAATAGTTCAGATTCAACTTTTATGCCAATTGAAGTTGCTGAAAACATTGAAGAAAACCACAGTGATCTTTCATTGTGTGAAATGTCAGATGAATTTCCAGATCTGGAAACTGATTTTGAAATAAGGAGAAGGAAAGCAAGCGGAAGATCTAATTCTGCTCCACCTGGAACAATAGTATGTTTTATAATATTTTTAATTTTAATTTAATACTTAGGATTGGCTTATAAAAAATAATCAAAAATCATTAAGTAATGCATAATATTGATTCAAACTCATTTTTTAAAGAGTTTAGTACCTAGACAGTAATGCATCATTTTATCTAATTTTCTTTGTGATAATAAAGATTAAATCAATAATTTGGTCTACTTTATTTAAAAAAATATATATAAATAAAGTAGACCAAATTAGTTAATTAGTTGGTAATATATTCCTTTATAACAATAGAATTGCATAAAAATATTTACCTAGTACGTTTATTATGCACTAGTAAAAAAAATGTATTAAGGGCATTATGTCTAAATAGATTTTTAATGACATTTTTTAGTAATACTTAAGTATTTTAATTTATTAAAATTAAGTTTAAGATTTTCTGTAATATTTAATGTATTATTTAAATATTTTGTAATATTTAAATATTTTGGCAAGGCATAATTTTTATTTTAGTATTTATTGATTTTGGTAGTGGTAATCACATATTGATATTTTTATTGGTTATTTTTGAACATGATAAACATATAAAATTCAAGTTAAATTTTGTTTTTAATGAAAAATATTAAATCTTATTTACAGATTTATTTATTGTAGGGCATGTTTACAGATCACTACAGTAGTGATGATGGCTTTTTCGATGAAATTTCACCAGAATATTTGAGTAGTTCCCCTACAAACATTCCACCCACTTTTATTGGTTTAATGGATGCTCCTTTAGTTTCTAATTATGCAAATTCTGAAGAAGATAAAGAAAATGCTCCTAATTTTGTAACTATTTTATTTTATTTTTCAAATTTTTATGCTTGTGTACGCACTTTATAATGATAATGATAATGATGGTGTTGGTGGTGATTTTTTATAACAGTTTTTTAACTCTAGGTACAAAGAAATAGAACTTTTCAAAAACCAACTGGTATTCCCCTTAATAGGAATCGTTCGCAATCTTTTTCCATCAAGGTATGCTACTAAAAAAAGTATGATGATTTAAGCCTGTACTTTTTTACTAATGTTATTTTTTTAGATTTTACAACATTTTATTTTATAATAAACTATAAAATTAACATACTTAAAAAAGAGGTTACAGTTAAGTTAGATTAATATCTTGAATAATCTTTTTTTCCAGAGAGACAAACCTGCTGATGGAAGCAGTCCTGTATCCAGGAAAAAACATAGAAGGTTCGTATTTATAACTTTTAATAAAATATATCTTTTGTTGACCTAGATAAATTTTACCAAATGGAGTTATTGTTTATATAAATATTCAAACTAATGTATGGCGTGCCCAGCTCTTTTTTTCATGCACAGTCAGGTCAACATTTGGCAATGCTGACCTGACTGTCTGAGGTCTGCAATTTTTTGCCCATCTCAGAATTTAAAACTTAGTTTTATTTGCTATTTCAAATAAACTAAAATCGGAAAGTGAACATTTTAATTAAATTAATCTGAGGTCTGCAATTTTTTGCCCATCTCAGAATTTAAAACTTAGTTTTATTTGCTATTTCAAATAAACTAAAATCGGAAAGTGAACATTTTAATTAAATTGTAAATAAAATAACTCAAATGGCAAAACAATGGTTTTATTTTAATTCTAAATAAAATAATTAAACTAAAAACAGAATGAAGGACTTTTTATTTAAATTTTTTGATAATCATCACAATTAAGCCTTGTTCATCACAATTAAAGTATCCTCAACTGTAGTAACTGTAAGGTCTTCTCAGCCTTGGAGAGGTGAATTAACTTAAAAAAAAATTATATTAATAAAATAGCATATTGAAGTTGTATAACTTATATTGTAACCTTTTATATCAAGAGCTTATAATTTATATTGTAATTATAACAAAAGGTATATAGATACTTTTAATAAAAAATAATTATATTATTTAAAAAAACAAAAAAATTAAAATACAATGCATTCATGATTTAAATTTATGACTTTTAATCATTTCTATGATGGCTCTAAAGCATATTTGTTTTTGGTTTTATCTATTTATATGCTGAATAGCCTGAAAAAATGTTTTTTTTTGTTGTTGTTTTTTTGTTTTAGATTTTATTTAAATTATTTTAGATAACATATTATAAAAAAATTTTTGATAATGTATTATATACGAGTATTATATATTAAAAATTTTTGATTTGTGGACAAGCATTTTTTATGCTTTATGAAAAACATTTTTGTTTTAGTTGGATCTGTAGAAGCAATTCATTATATGAAACAGATCCTGCTTTAACTCCATTAGAAAAGGTTGGTGTAATTTTTTCAGATGATATCATTAATAGTACATTTTTATAAGATTATCACATAACATAGTCTTTTCTTTTTAGAGATTAACAGATAACAAAGGTCCTGTAAGAACTTTGCAACGTTCACAATCATTCGATACTCATTCAACAAAGTCACCAAGTGTGGAAATCACATCTTTGTTTGGTAAAAAAGTTTTTTTCTAATACATGTTTAAATACTTAAAAGTAAAATCGAAGTTATTTTATAATCAATTTTTGCATTGATCAAATAGCGTGAAAGTTTTTGATTCATGTGCTAAAAGTAGATGTTTTAAACTTGTTAAAAGTAAATGTTTTATTTGCATGTAGTACTTACTACACTTAGAAATCTATTAAATCAGTTGCTACAGTAGCAGTTGCTTTATTATGTCTATAACTTTTGGTTGTTTGGTAGAGTTTGTTGAATTAAAACAATGTTTTTTTATTATTGCTAATATACAGTAAATTACTGGTGAGTCAAACAATAGTTAACTCAAACTTTTGTTATCTTCAACTGTTTCATTTGGCCTCTTAAAATCCTCTAATTGATTACTATAAAAATATTCTAGTTAAGTCAAACCTCTGACTCAAACTTTGTTAAGTGGAACCATTTTTTGTCCTTTTTCAGCAAATTTCTTCAGATAGCTCAAACTTTTTGTATGGGTAAAAAAGAAAGCAAAATAACTTCAAAAGAAGTCATTCTATATAAAACATAAATAACAGCCTATTTTTGTTGTTATTGATGTTGTTTTATATATATCTTTATGAAATAGATCGTTATCCGATGATAAATAGAGCCTTAGCAGAACTATTATAAATAAATCATAAAATATTATTAAAAAGCAATTATTTTTTAGTTTTAATAATTTTCTTTATAAAAGAAACTGTTTTTAGAAACAAGTAATATTTTATTACCAATTAATAAGGAAGTCATTGTGTTGCTAAATGTTTTTAAATGCTTACAGCATGAATACAATAGCTAACTTTTTTCACAGAAACATTCTTTTCACTTTTATTAGTATAATGGTGTATATTTACTTTTTTTTTTTTTTTTTTTTTTTTTTGATCAAAATATTGTAATTGAGGGAATGCATTAAAATAGCAGTGGTTGTATTGATTTTAAAGTTAGTTTATAAAATTTAAAAAGATATTTTTAATTTTTACAGGGAAAGTATTACTTTAATTATAATATATTCTTTATTTATTTGTGTATGCTCAATAGTAAAAGTCTTTTCTAACCCTTTTTAAGTGGGTCGAGTGCGTCATTCTACACCAACAAAATGCAACATTATATTAAAGTATCATAGAAAGGGTTAATCTTACTCATATATACTAAATGTTCCTAGATATTCATCATAGATGATTTCAAATGCCATAAATTATAAAGCAAAAGTTGAAAAACGAGGTGGAAAGGCTACCGCAAAAGAAGACCGAAGAGTTGTCAGATATGTTAAAAGCAAACCATTTTTATCAGCCAAGCAAGTCAAAGATAATCTTGAAATACAAGTGAATGACACAATTGTTCGTAGATGCTTAAGAGAGAACAGTTTAAATGCATACAGTCACGAAGGTTCCTTTGTTGAAAAAAAATATATATATATACAATTAAACACTTGCAGTTTGCAAACCAACATTTGAAATGGCCCATCAAAAAGTGGCGCAACATTATGAACCGATAATCAAAAATTGTTTTCAACGGACGTACAGGTTCAAGACAATATGTAAGAACAACAACAAGATTTATTTTCCTCAAAATTTACGATCATATAATTACAATAATAATAACAATAACAATATCTACAATATTACAAATAATAAAATCATAATATCATTATTAGGAATAATAAAAGGAGTCACTTATGTAGAAACGGAGTGACATATTAATTTAAAAAAATGATAATAACAATAACAGTTTTATTCATCAATAGAGCAAAAGTAACAGCAAAAATAATAGTGTTTATAAGAAGAAAAAGAAAAATAAGATTATTAAAAGAAGTTAATAATGATAAAAAATTAAAATAAAATATTTTTTAGAATTTGTTTGAATTTATTTTGTTTTAAATGAATTAAAAAAAGAAATAAAGATAAATTATTTTAAAGTTTTAATTTTTCAAACTTATTCACGATGCACACAAGACCATTCGCTTATGCATTGATGTGTAATTGAGTACTTACCGTACCTCAAAGTTTTATAGGGAGGTACATTTAGTTTTCCATTATTGTTTCTAGTTAAATGTCAATGTAAAAATCGAGTTTCAGTGATGAGTTTCAGTGATAAAGGAAGGTAAATTTTTATTAAGGGAATCAAAAACAAAAAGGAGATCTAACTAGTACTGACAAGGTAGGAGTTTTAAGTTTTTTTTGAAGAAGTTTGAAGTTTCTGTATTATAGAGTTAAAAATTTATTATTCGGATTGATTGACTCTGAGCTGATAACAATTTAATAATATGACAATGCAAATTTGTCCTTAAACCTGAAAACAGTTGTTGAGATGAGACTGAAAAATTGGAAAATACAAATTCTTAAAAGTAGTTTTACCAACGAATTATTGAAAGCATGGCAAATTATTGAAAGCATGCCATTAGCTCAGATAAGTTTTTTATGTGCATCTATATGAAAATTCCATGAGAGGTTCGAATCTATAAAAATACTAAGATATTTACATGGTGGCCACAATCCTGGAATGTCCTGGATTTTTGCAAGTGTTGTGGAATGTCCTGAACTGTCCTGGAAAATTACATTTTTTTCAAAAATGTCCTGAAATGACCTGGAACTTTTTTTTTTTTTCTGAGTCAAGTTAAAAAATTAATAATAATATTGAAGTAATATTAAATTTTTTTTGCGAAAAAATTTTTTATATAAATGGTTTGAAATTAATTTTAAATAGGAGAGCAATAATAATATAATATTCTATTCTATCAGTTTTTTCCAGGTTCAGAGAAATTAAGTTTGCGTTTAGCCAATGAACTAACTCTTTAAGATCTAAGTTTGTATTCTTACACAAGAAATAATGAGGCTTATTAATATGCAAGTTATTAGTATTATCAGCAAATAAATGGACTGATGAGAAGTGAACAGAGTTGTTTAGATCATTAATATAAATCAAAATTTGTAACCATTAATGCTAACAAATTGCTTCCAATTTGAGAGATAAGATTAAAACCGATTACAACTCCTCAGATTCTGTAATGTTTGAGTTTAGAAATTAAAATGGTATTAATAAATGCGTAGTATTTATTAATACCATTTTAATTTTTAGTAGTCAATAAAAACGCCACCAACAAAATGACCAGTATCCGGTGCTTTTTTTATTTTTTGGGTTATACTTATTAAAGTGTGACTAGTAGATGGTTTTGATCAAAATCTAAACTGAAATTCATTTAAACAGTTAAAAGAACTCAAAAATGAGTATAATCTAGAATACATTAGTTTTTCAAGGAACTTGCTAATGTTAGAATTGAAATTGGTCTATACTTAGTACATGAGAATTTTAAGCCATATTTATATACTGGAATGACACATGATAATTTCGAAATGTCAGGAAAATTCCATTTAAGAAGGAGATAATAAATAGCTTAGAGAGAATAATAGAAAATTCATAGTTAAAATCAATAAGAGTGTTTGTGGGGATGCTGTTAGGACCTATTGATTTTCTAGGTTTCAATTTAGATATAAATGATGAGATTTCAGAATGGTTTGTTGGAGATAAACTATGAAAATTTAGATGCTTAAGATACTTTTTATAGCTAAGATGAGTTTTAGAATTAAATTTATGAGCTAGATTTGTGAAAAAGTTGTTGAATTCTTCCGAGATTAGAGTTTGTTCAGTTATGTATGTTTTGTTAACTTGTAAGCAATTTGGAGGTACATTATTGACATTTTTGACTTTTACTAGAGTTTTGATGCCTTTCCAGGTTTCACAAAGATTTTTTACTTTTTCTGAAAAGATTCTTTAAATGTATTTTTTTACTCAGTTTTATTAGATTAATTATGGTATGTTTATAGCCTTTAAAGATAGTTTTTGAGTTTAATTATATTTGTTGGATCTTTTATCCTTAACATTTTCTTTGAATTTTACCTTGAATTGATCAAGATTTATAAGATGTCCAGCTAATACAGAATTCCAGAAAAAATATACCATTAAGGCTGTGAAACATGGTGGGGCCAAAGTCATGGCAGCCCTCTGCTTCTCATAAAATGGTGTAGGCCCTATTTATAAGAATAATGATGTCATAACCAACATATATATGTTGACATTCTCGATAATGTCATGCTGATCTATGCTATTGAAGATATGTTGCTAAAGTCCTCCAAAAAAGACAATGACCCAAAACACTAGTCGCAGGGCAAAGGAGTGGTTTCAGGTGAATGGGGTTGAGGTTATAGAGTGGCCTGCTCAGTCACCTGACCTAAACCCATTAAAAACTTATGGGGAGATGTTAAAAAAACAGCTTTTGTTGTTAATCCAACTAATGCTCAGCAGTTATGGATAGTTATTCAACAAGCATGGTACGCAATACCCGCAGAAAAATGTCAATATCTTGTTGACTCGCATGCATGGGCGTTGAGAAGCCGTTACCAAAACAATGGTTTTGCCACAAAATATTATTGTACTAAGTGAAATATTATTATATTATATTTATTTTTAACTTTTTCATGTTAAAAAATTAACGTTTTTAATGTTTAATTCTAGAAAGACTATTTTTCTTTGTTTTCAGAACTGCTATTTCAATGACTGCAATCTATTTTTAATATTATTGTTTTGTTTCTGAAATAAAATGCAAAACTTCTACTGATGTGATTTTTTTTATTCTAATAGATCTAATAAATTAAAGTTTCAAAATAAATATAAATTTTTATTTTTTAGTAATTAGTGAAAAAAAAATTGCTCAGTAGTATTCAAAAATTTCCAGGTACTCCTATTTCCTTGCTCACAGCTGTAATTGACGTGTTCCACTGCGGAAAGTGTTAAATTAATCAATTTTGAATCTTACTGTTGCCCTTTTTTTGTCAATTGTAACCAAATGAGTAATGAATTAGACAAATAAAAGTTTTTAATAATAAAGTTAATTTAAGTTGTTTTAATCGTTCCAAAAATCATTGTACTTTCTCATTTATGACTTTATTATTAAAAATTTTAATAAACTTTTACTTTAATACTCCTCTGTCTATTTTAACACTCAGCCGTTTAAAAATTGACAAAAAAAATCTTTTGAATATTTTAACACTTTTAACAACAAAACGTGCCATATTTGAAATCATCATTATAAAATGTTATTTTCACAGTGAATTGCATAGTCTAATATATTTTACTCTATTTTTATTATATTTTTCCAAAGTTTTCTTTAAAATACTTGTTTTTTTTTTATATTTGTGTGTTGATATTATTGATAGTGTTCTTATGTTTTTATATTTAAAGTTTAGAATAAAAATGCTTATTTAGCACTTGCTAAATAGAACGCTTCTGCAAGACTATAACAGGTATGTTGTCCGGACAATATCAGGTATGGCTATATCAGGTAAAATGTAATTTGTGGAATCAAGAGATGATATTGATAAAAAGTTCAAAGCAAACAATTCAGCTTTGTCTTTAGGTGAGGTAACAAAATCTGAACCATACAAGAGAGGTGGAATAACAGATTTGACCTTATTATAGACATTGTTAAAGATTCTCCAGAAGTCTGTTGAGCTCAAGTTATACACAACCTATTTACAATGTTTTCTAGCCATAGTAAACAGATGTCTGTTTTCTGGAGATTCTTTTGGCAATAGATATGAAAGTAATGGTTAAGATTGGAAATTGCGGCAGTACAATGAGAAGAAAACTATAAAAAAGAATGAGGCTTGACTTGAAATTGTTGAGAAGGAATAAATGTTTCCATGCCTAGTAAGCTTTAAGGTAGTTGTAAGATGTACAATGATAATCGGGTTCTGATGATGAAGAAGAATGAGATAATAGTTTTAGGAAGATCAAACTGTGATCAGAAGCACTTAAGGGTAAATGTGGAGAAATTAAGCACTGACTTGGATCAGAAACAAGACATTAGTCAAATAGAGAAGGTAAATGATTATGGTTATCTAGAAAACAAGTTAGAAAGTTGACTATTTGTGTTAAAGATTGACGAAGAGGAAAGTTGAGAGCTTTATTGCCTGCTGAGTCACTGACACTAGAACCAAGCCATTCATTGTCATGAGCATTAAAGTCACTAATAACAACGATATTGGCTGAGTGATAAAGAGAAAGGGCTTGGTCAATTTAATCAAAAATAACATCAAAAAGAGTGCAGATTAAGGAAAGTGATATAGAGCAAAAAGAAAGGTGATAGAGTGAAATGTTGCTAAATGAAAGCGCATAAAAGAATAGTCTCTCGATTCAAACCTATTTTACCAATGAAAGAGTGGATTTTTACAAATGTAAATGCCCAGGCCAAACATCTGACTATTGGAGTCTTTACAAATTAAAGGAAGATAACCATTAACACGAAAATCACAAGATAAGACAGCTGAATTTAAATCCAATTTAGTTTAAAATAACTTAACAGAGCTTATTATTTCAGCTATATTTTTATTATTTCCCTGTAACTCCAAATTTTAGGAATTTAATTTTCCATGATGTCTGTTAAAAATCCTAAATCAATCAGCCAGCAGGATTCATCTAGTTCATAGTACTTTACTTTTTATCATTTATAAATATTTCTATTTCTTCAATTAAACTCACAAATCCTGTAAGAACTTTGAGATAAAATCATGTTAATTATCTACAGTATCTTTTAAAATGGCTTTAAAAAGTCTGTATTGCAGTGAAATAATTATCAATGTAGAACTGATTATTTTTGTAACTATTTTTATAACATGTTCTAATGGCAATATTTTACAACACAGAGCTTCCTGGTGGATTATACAGTGGTAGGACATACAGTTTGAAAATAACTGATCTTTCTTGCAAATAAATACTTTATTTTTACCAATCATTGCTGATGTCCTATCAATGGCTATTGCAGACAGCTTTTCTATAATAATCACTAATGGGACACCAACATGTCAATAATCACAGTTAAAACACCACCATTAAAAAGACATATTTATTCACTTGGTGTATGTTCTTAATGGATTATAAATATCCTCATCCATTGTCTTAGCTTTCATAGTTAATATTTGCTACATACCCTCTTTTACTTTAAAAAAAATTTTTTAATAAATTCTTTCTCCACCCAATAGTAGTGTGCTATATAATAAAATAACATTAATTAAAAAATTGAAAAAATATTTTAAAAAGGTGCACCAAGGATTTTGAACATTTAAAGGAGCACATAATATTATCAAAAAGTATGTTGGGTTTCAAATTAAGTACAACTGTATAAAAATTTCTAAAATATGAATCATTTAATAAGTTATTAATTTGTTTTTTTTGTTTTATTTTTTTTGCATAAATTTTTTTATTATAATTTTTTTCCAATGTATTTTTATAAAATCAATCCATATGTATTATTTATAGAACACGATTTTGACAACCAAATATCATTGTAACTGACTGGCTATCCCATTTCTACTTCCAGTGATTACATTTGTAGTGTCTATATTGTATTAATCGAAAATTTTTGTTATACTTTTAACAACATCTGCTTTTCTATCTTGTAGATCTAGTTCTCGTAACTTAACTTTTCTTTGTTTATTTTTCAACTCTAATGCTTGATATTCTTGGTGACTAATATGTTTACCATCAAAGTACAGTAACCAGTTCTAAATGTAGTGTTTTCTTTGTTTCTGTTTTAAGTTTAAGAGCTTCTTCAATAGTTAATTTGAATATACCAGACTGAGACGGTGTCTGAATATCAAATCCATTTTAAGATAACTGTCAACAAATGGTTGCTGCCTTGCTGGTTGATAACTTTAAAGATGTTACTATTTTTGGTTGCAGTTTTTGTTTTGCTGTAATTCTTGCTGGTACTTGTGGTTGTTTTTCTGAATCTTCAGCCTCTTCATGTTCTGTCTCAGACTCAGATTGGGAAAATGACATTGTTGCTGTTGCCACTACTGTTGTTGAAGTAACGTTCAAGTACATTTTTTTTATTTTGGATGGGTGGATAGTTTTTAAACTAGCAGCTTTCCCAGATATATACCTGACCTGTCTTTTGCTTTGACCTGTCTTGAATATGTTTCTAATGTCAAAAACTTCATTTAATGGATCGTATTTTTTTTGTTTTACACACTTATCGTACGTCTTTAGCACTTGATTCAGTTTTGCCTGTACGACTTGAATTGATAAATGTGGAAAAATTAATTTCTTTTGTCATAAATTACTTCTTTCTCAATTTATTTTACGAATTCTCTTCTCTTTTTGATGGGTCTTTGATGGATTTGATGGATCAAATAGCAACCAACAATTTTGATTTTGAGTGAAATCCTGTTGTTACTTTCCAGTGATTGTTTTTCTAGTGGAACAATTCTTCTTTTCTTGTGTTACTCATAAAATCCTACAAGATTCTTGATTCAACTTGTTTCTTTCAGTTGTGAAAACACTTGTTTCTTTCAGTAGTGAAAACACTTTTCTTATAGGACATTATGGTTGAAGAAAATACTTGAATATATTTCTGAATGGCAATAATTATAAATATAAGTACTATTATACTTCCATATAGCCATCAAGCAAATACAAATTCATATATAAATATTAGCGCTGATCAATCAGGCAGCTTATATAGTTTAAATCTTACTAATTTCCATAAACTTCTAGAAAACTCCTG